TTGTGTACAGTGTACTCTGTAGTCGGATTGTTGAACTTGAATTGAAATTCTTTGGGTATTGCTGAATTGACATTGTTGAAATTTGGGTATTGTTGAATTGAAATTGTTGAAATTTGGGTATTGTTGAAAATTGAAATCTTATGAAGCGACTCTTTCAAAGAAAAACTGACTTGGGCAACGTAAATGTTGATGGGGGAATGTCGAATAATGTGGAGTTTCCGAATTGTACTAATAGGCGAAAATCCGACAACTGAGCTGAAAGTTATACTCTTTTTCATCCACGCCACTAGTTTTCTTTCTAAATATCTTCCAAACCATGAATTTAACTCGTTTCGGCTCCTGAACCCTTCACAAAACTCCTTAGCTTGTCAACTTCTTCAATTTGGACTCCAAAACTCGACCAAGTTATTGCCTATCCCGAATTATATCACGTATAATTGTTTTATATTTTTATTATCATTACATCCATGACAAAAACTCGACGTTCAACATTGACAAATTGTGCCCATCCTAAATTACTTTCCCGGCTCCACCCCCGTTGAGATAAGAGATATTAGAGGTTTTGGTGATTGCAGTAGTGGAGGCAAATTGAGACCGATCACGGTGGCTGATTTTATGGCTGCCGAGTGCTTGGTATGATGAAAAGGAGTTTACACACACGCTACAATTGTACGACATATTCTGGTCCAGTGGAGAAGCTATAATAGTAGGAGAAAAGGGTTCATTGATTTCTCGTCAACGCCGACTGAGGCTAAAGCGCCTATTCTTTCACTAGTGGTAGTGACTGCGGCGGAGGCGGGGTTTAGTACATCTTCTATGAGTTCAGCGGAGGCACCGGTGGCTGGACCAGTGTGCCAACTCCTATTGTCCTGAGATAGCATCAAGAGGGCAAGTGCTGCTTCTTTTTCAATTTTCGTTGGTTTATGGTTTCTTTGCTTGCTACTAGATTGAAAACAAAGAGTGTCAAACTCGTTGGTTGGAAGGCTCGCCATGGATGAATTTAGGGCTTCTGTTGGAATTGCACCTTCAGCATACCAGATCACACGTCCAGCACATGTGCAACAACTTCAACAGCAGGCATCAACACGATTCAAACTTCACCAACATGCGCAACAACTTCTCATCATATCACATTCCAGCTCCAGCTCCTGCAGGCATTCAACAGCAGCATCTTCAGCATACCAGATCACACGTCCAGCACATGAACATCCTTCCAGATCCTTCTATCACATGGCCAACACATGCTTATTCTAGATCCTTCTTATTGTAGTTAGTTT